TCAACACACACACACACACACACACACACACACACACACACCCTACATACATAAATACATATTCGTAGCACAATACAAATGTATGTAAATTCATATTTACTTGTAAAGAAAGTCTATATACATATATAATTATCACAGTCGACATGTTATAGATATTCGCAACAGATCACACAAAAATACAAGAGTATGTTAATACACATTTACTTGTAAAGACTGTCGATTTAAATGTGATTTTTATATACATTGTATACATATGTGTGTGTGTGTGCATATATATGTGTATATATACATATAAACATACAAACAAACACATATACACATAATATATATGTAAAGATCGCAGAACACATCATTTTTTGGGTGTCATTCACAAAACGTTTGTGTGCAGAGTGTCAGCCCCCCCCCCCCCTTTCCAACCCCCTTCCCATCCTAGTAGTAAAAAAAAAAATCAAAAGCAAAAATTGTACCGGACAGATCAACCAGCCAGTCAACAGACAAACAAAGGTGAATATAATTAAACCTTGTAAAAACTAACAACAAGAAGAAGAAATCTTTTTCTTAAAATAAATTGACGGAACTTGGCTGATGACAGTGGCTGACATAAACACACACACACACACACACACACACACACACACATACACACACACACACATGCGCTTGCGCGCACGCACAAAGAAGACACTAAACGTTTGTCCTTATGAGATTGCTGATGTTGATTTTGTTTCAGCTCTTCCCAAGTAGCCAGGTACAAAAAAAAAAAAAAATATAACCAGGGAAGTGTGGTTTGGTACGTATGGAAAGGGATCAATAACGTGGCTGTATTGATTTATGGCTATAAAATAAGGTGTTCGGTGCTATCTACAATCTAATTAACATCTCAGTTTCGCTCAGAAACACAGCACTTGGCGCATGATATAGTCACATGTGCCGTCAGTGAAACACAGCGGTTCTCGCAGTGTAGTAATGTGACGGGGCATATCAATCAATTTCTTGCGGCCTCAGAGATGTGGTTTTACAGAAGAATGCTTAGAATACCTTGGACAGTCAAAAAGAGCAACCAAGAGGTTTTGAAAGAGACGGGAGCCCGAAGACAACTTATCACAGACATCAAAAGGAGACAGTCATCATTTTTCGGCCATGATATGAGAAGAGGGAACATAGAACATGTTGTGACCACTGAAAAAATCTGTGAAAGGAGGAATGGAGAAAGACAACAAGAGATGATTCTTGACAGTCTTGTAGCATGGCATGGAGGTGTGTCAGCACACGAACTTGATACAAGCTGCAAGAGATCGCAGATTGCGGAGAGGCTTGATCGCCCACGCCGGTCAGTAAGGCACCTGATGATGATGATGATGATATCCTGTGGTGCAGTAAGTAGGGAATGTTAAATCTGCATTGTATCTGTCTTATTAAAGAAGATGCTTTTTTTTTTTCAAAGATACAAGTCTAAAATAAACTATACGCAGGCGATAATATTATCCTATGCTCGGGAAGGCTAATCTAGGCAATAAATTATGTCGGATGTATGGACCGAAAGGCGCAAATATCACAACCATGTTGCGAACGGGCACAATGCATTTACCTATTCAGATGACCGCAGAAGAAGAAGATATTATACTATGCTACAGAAGATGTGGGAATCACAGCAAATGGCAATGGACAGGATCAACTGGCAGGAAATAGAGGTTTTTTTTTTTTTTTGGTTGTTGCTCAGAACCTGGTCAAAATAGAAGAAACTATGTGCCGACCACGCTGCATGCTCTTTGTCGGGGACTACCTTGTTTATCCCTAAGGTAAGGCAATACCAATATGTGTGGTAGAAACAATACTGCTGAAGCTGCCAGACATGAGCAGTTCAATAGCTTGTCGGAGCTTCCCTCCTAGATCAGCTGCCCGCCATGGCTAAGGGCTTGGGCTGTCCTGTCGCAACAGGAAGTTGTGTGTGTGAGTGTGAGTGTGTGTGTGTGTGTGTGTGTGTGTGTGTGTGTGTGTGTGTGTGTGTGTGTGTCCAGCAGTTTCATGACAACGTTGATATTTTCTCAACACTGCAAGCTGAAAATGTATTGAGTCTCTCGCCAACTGTTTCGACTCGTCATCATCTGTACAAAGAATGCCCGTAAGGTACTGAGATCACCTCCAGCACTATTCCTTTCTAATCATTATGACGTT